CTTGTTGTATTTGTTGCATTTTTAATCAAAGAGAGGAAATTAGAACTCAATGGTCTACCCCTTCAAGTTTTAACGTTGGCAAAAAAGACATTGGATCCTTTCTGACGTGGCTTTGAAATACCCTCTCCTAACACTTCCGGCGGGGGGCCTCGGCCCTCTTTGATGCCTGTGCAGAATCGAAGCCTCCAGTTGCCATCTTTGCCTGCGGTCACAGTATGACCTTTCCAGCAGCTGCTGTGGTTTTCAACCATGTGCTTTAGTATTTTGTTACAATGTAGTATCCGCACTGTAAAATGCCTACCCACTCCGCTCTCGCCAGAGCTCTTCCTGCCGGTCAGGTTGACAGAAATGAGAAACACGAAGTGGCTCGGAAAGTGTCAGTCCAAGCCGGGCCGTGTGGAAGCAGCCCTTGGGCGTGCGGCCCTTGCCTGTTCCTTCTAACAAGCGTGGTCTGTGCAGGATGTCCGTCTGGAGGTCGGGGCGGAAAGGGTAGCCTTCTCACTGACTCGCAGGGTGGGTCCACTTAGTGCCTTCCGGCAGCGGGAAGCAGGGGCGGCGCGGACGCAGGGCCTGTGGAGATGGACGCAGAGCCCCCAGCGCCCCACCTGAGCCCGGCCAGGAAGAGGCGACTTGATCACGCGGGAATGCCCCGCGGACGTGCTGTTCTGCTCAGGCTCTGTATGTTCTGTGGGTTTTGTTTTTACAGAGTGGTTTTGAGATGGGTTCTGGGCACGTTGGAGCCAGTCAGTCAAAGTGACGGTCTCTGCCTCAGCTGCACCCGGAGGGATGGGGTGGGCTCCCCATGCCCCTCGCCTCCTGCCCGCCAGTCTGCTTGCGCTCCTCTGCCTCTCGTCCCCCGCTGCTCAGCTGGGAGCGGGGAGCTGCGGCCCTGTCCCTCGTGTCCCTTCACACACTGTCCTGTGCTCGCACCCCTGCCTGCATGTGTGGTCGGCCCGCCGCCCTGCGCCTCCGCCCCGGCTGCTGCCTCTGCTCGCTGGAGGAAGCCGCTCCCCCGCCTGTGGGCCCCGGGGCCACCAACCCTCAGAGCAGCTGGACAGCCTGTGCTGGGTGAGTGGACCCTCGCCTCACGCGGCCCTGGCTCTGCTGCTCCTGCCCCTCTGCCCCCGCCACCCCTCTTCGCGCTTCCGGCCCACTCCCCTGGGCAGTGCCGCAGCCCCACAGCCGCCGCCTCCTCCTCCCTGCGCCGCCTTCGGTGCTGAGTGTAGGGCCCAGCGCTGGCTCCTGCTGTCCGTGGCCAACTTGCTCGCCTTGCCTGCTTATCGTCCTGGCCCAGACCACCCGCCTGGCCGTCTCCTGGCAGAACACGGGTGTTACACACGCCTGCCCCCGCTACCTCCGTCCACAGCCGCTCAGGGGAAGGCCTTCGTGCCTGCGGCCCGGAGCGCTGTCCCCGCCCCCTGACCAGCCCCTCTCCCCTCATTCTGTCCCTCCTGTGGGGCTTCTCCTGTTCTCTGTTCAGAAACCTTGTGCCAGCTGGGCATGGCGATACAGGCCTGAGACGCCAGCGCTCTTCAGGCAGGGGGACTGCAAGTTTGAGCCCAGCCTGGACAACTTAGAAAGACTCTCAGCATTGAAAAGATGAGGAAAGGGCTAGAGATACAGCTCAGTCCAAGGTGTGACGTCACTCCTCCTCAGAAGCAGAAGCCTTTGGTGGCCTGCTCTCTAGTGCTGCCGGTAGCCAGGGTGAGTCACAGGTGCACGCTGGAAAGGGCGCAGTGGAAGAGTGCACTCGCCCTTACGCAGCGCGTCCCAGATACGTCCTCAGCACGCGCGCAGCCGTGTCCCCGCCCAGGCCGCGGGGCCCCGCTTCAGGCTGGCGCCGCGGAAGGATGCCCAGGGCCCGGGCCCGCACCGCCCGCCTCTGCCACGCTGCAGCCTCCAGGCGCGGTTTCCTGAGGACCTCTCACAGAGCCCCTCCGCAAGGTCCTGTGGCCAAACGTGGATTGCTAGGCGGAGTCTTCTTTTTCTAAACAAGACAATTCCTGGAACAAACATAACCCTTGTGGCGCACCGGGGTATATAGCTGAATAGCGTCCCGGGTTTTCTGTTCCTTCGTTTGAAGGAGAGGCGGGGCCTGGCCACAGTCGCCCCCCTCTGGGTGCCCTTCCCCGGACGTGCCTGTGTCGGCCTGCCGGCCGCGGCCCCACACGGCTGTGCCCACCAGCGGGCCCTTGCCCGGCGTCCGTGGACAGCCCCCCTCCCTAGCGGTGCACACCCGCGGTTGGATCCCGCGGCGCGGCGCGGCGTGCAGAGCAGCAGGCTGCCGTCCTGGGGTGGGAGCGCTGCGGTTTAGCCCGCAGGCGTGCTCCTCAGCCCAGGGAAACTGCCCTGGGTCCGAGGTTACTGGTTGCTGCATGAGAGTGCCTCGGGGTGCCCCGCGCCCCGCGCAGTGATGCGAGCGCCGAGTCGCCGGGGCCTGGAGTGCGGGCGGAGTGAGCGGGGCGCCCCTGCGGGCTGTGAGCGCACCCACATCTGCTGCAGGGTGCTCTGGAGAGACGGCGGGCGCAGCGCGAAGCTGCTGGCGGTGGCCGCCCTCGAGCTGGTGCTCAGAGCGCGTGC